ATCCTGTCACTATGATCACCCACTCAGATGAATTCTCAGACTGCCCCAACATGCCCARGTTTTGAYCCCYGCTAAGGATCTCACTGATTGGCATATCAAAGACAGCCCAATCCGACATCTAGTGAAGTATCATAATCGAGTCTAGGGGTCAGGTGTAACTTTTCAGTTTTGCCCATCTATCTCTAAGGTACAGGGCAATACTGGAAATCTGGTTCGGTTCAAGGATTCGAGTAATCCCATACTGCACGTGCCTTAGGTCTTACCTTGGTGGCCGAGACAGGCCATCCCAATACTTGGCGGCACATCATTATCAGCCTTGGCAGGATAAATCTCCCCAGACGTATTCAATGGCTGTGAACATTTAAAACTAACACGAGTCTCATTAAGTGTCCAGTWTTAGGGWCTTACACAGAATCATACCAAACAACATGAATCAAACATGCACTTTATTTATTTACACTAAATATCAAAAGTACATCAAATCAGATTGAAGCTAAGGGCATACAAAACTGTCTAACACCTTCAACTTGCAAAACAGGTCAACCCTTTAATACTTTTTCATTCCTTCATTGAATATACTTGAGCTAAGATAATAATTGAATCAAATAAGAAGACATTCTAATTTGAATTTCAGCATTTTCAGATTTTTTTTCACTATACTTCTCTACCCTATGCAGGCCTAAATATAGGAACCCAACCAACCATCCCAGCCATCTAAGTCCCTTCTTAAACCTTCTACATATATGCTTTATCCACTATTGAAATCCTATCAAATAGTTGCAAATTTCTGCAAAACTAAAGTCATTAGTTCACTTTGTTGCATCAGTCAAGTAATCCAGAAACCAGTTGTTTATTAAAAGTAGGACCCAACTCATTCTAGATCAATTTTTGATATCAGAGAAGCAGATGCTAAATCTGAAGCATTATCTGAAGACCATGATGGCACAAAGAAATCCCTACAACAAAGCAAACTAATTTTCTGGAATTGAAGAACAATAAAGATGCAGTCTCAAATTCAAGCTCAAATCTCATCCAACAAATCTGTATTTACAGTTGCCATGTTCCATGAACAGTCATACCTTAATAAAGATGTTAGCCAGGAAAGCATCTTTGATAACAGAAGTGCACTAGCTATACAGCCATTAAAGCCTGCAGTCGCTCCTTCCCATGTCTTCTTTGGGCTAATTTGAGTAAGTGGTGTTCAAAAAAACACTGCATTGCAGTACAAAAGCCTTCCTCAAAGATCTAATCATCTGCAGCCCAAAGTTAAAGAAGCAAGTCAACATAGAATTTTCTTTCACATCTCTTTTTAAGTGTTTTGTAATATGAAAGTACAATAAACAAAACAAATGCCAAAAATAATGACATCATGAACAGAACTACTAGAGGATTCAACATGGAATCAGAACATGACAACAGCATTGTATGTCCAAGCTGACAGGCACAGATATTGGTGCATCATAGAACAAAATTAGGAAAACCTCACATTTCTATTGTAACATAAATGGCATACATGCTTCCCCAATATCCATGGAAGTAAAGTCACATAGGAAATTTCCTCAGTTCTACATCAGCACATCTACAATACTCAAAAATGAGCCAGTTGACAATTATGTAATATAATATCATGAAAATAACAGTGCAGAGAAGACCGGCTACAGCACCGGTAAAAAGAAGTGACCTGTTGCAAGTTGAAGAGTCTAGAAGAGCTAGGGGCAGACCCAGAGATTTAGGGAATCAAGAAAGAACATGCCCAAAAAAATGAGTGTGGCTGAGATGAGAATGTTATGATGGATAAGTTATAAGACTAGAAATGATAGAATTAGAAATGAGCACATCTGAACGAACTTAGGAGTAGCTTCAATTATTGACAAGATGAGAAAAAGTCAACTGAGATGGTCATAGACAACCAACTGCAAAGTGAAGAGTGAATTTGTGTAAATAGATGGTCCCAAAAACACAAAGAGAAGACCAAAGAAAATATGGCCCAAAGTAGTAGAAAATGATTTAAAGACTTGTAATTTGATAGAAAACATGGCTCTTGATAGAGCAAATGAGCAGGAAAGAATAACCCCAAACATTTTTTATTAAGGTTGAGTACTTTTATGTTTTTCAAAGCCAGCTTAGATTGTTTGGTCATGTGCATAGACAACCAATGACTGCACAAGTGAAGAGTGAATCCATGTAAATAGAAGGTTCCAAAAACACAAAGAAAAGACCAAGAAAATGTGGCCCAAAGTGGTAGAAAACGATTTAAGGACTTATAATTTGATAGAAAACATGGCTCTTGATAGAGCAAACGAGCAGGAAAGAATTTGTGTAGCCATCCCCAAACATTTGTGATTAAGACTGAGTGCTTTAATATTTTTCAAAGTAAGATTTTTTTTTTCTGATTGGAAACGGAAACTTTCATTAAGGATATCAAATAAACATCTTACACTGTCAACCACTTAAACAAAGAGTGTTGACCCCAACATAACATCAAGAGTTATAGTACAGCCCAAAAAAAGTGTGCCCTGACTGTCCCCTGTTTTGCCAAGCTATCTGCCACAGAGTTTGCTGATCTCCTTACCCATTTAAATGTTACTCCAACTTCCCTTGCCAAGCAAATTATTTCTCTTATTTGCTGTCTATACTTCCATACACCCAACTTCTCTGTTTTCAGCCACCCTATCAACAATTTAGAATCCCCTTCCACCTCCAAGTTCTGAAATTCCCATTGCTTGGAAAATCTCAGGCCATGTAGGAGAGCCAAAATTTCAGCTCTCATAGAGTCTCCCACTCCTATGGGACCAGAGTATAGTTTGCTAATCTCCTTATCCATTTAAATGTTACTCCAACTTCCCTTGCCAAGCAAATTATTTCTCTTATTTGCTGTCTATACTTCCATACACCCAACTTCTCTGTTTTCAGCCACCCTATCAACAATTTAGAATCCCCTTCCACCTCCAAGTTCTGAAATTCCCATTGCTTGGCAAATCTCAGGCCATGTAGAAGAGCCAAAATTTCAGCTCTCATAGAGTCTCCCACTCCTATGGGACCAGAGTATAGTGCCACCATTCTGCCCTCCACATCCCTAAAGACTCCCCCAGCTCCTGAGGGTCCTGGATTACCCATGGAACTTCCATCAAAATTTAACTTTACCCTTTGTTGTGTTGCTGGTGTCCAAGAAGGCTGAAGAGCAGGCTGTCTGGTTGAAGAGTTTGCAACTACTGATCAACCCCTTTGTATATCATCCACTGAAAAATCTTTAAATAAGTCACTTACTTTCAGCCAATGTATGACCTTAATGGCCACACAGTCAATGACTTGTTCTGTTGATCTTTGTGCCCCTTGGAATATTTTTTTATTCCTTTCTTCCTATAAAGACCAAAGAATGGCTGCTCTTGTTGCCCTCCACATCACTCTCCCCTTTTCTTTGATAGTAGGAAGAAACTTGGGTTGAAAAGACTTGTCACATCCGGGGGAGGGGTCCACCTGTAGACAAATAAGGAAGAAAACCAACTCCACACACAAGAAGCAAAGGGACAAGACCGGCGTTTGTTGCCCTAGGATCAAGACTTGTCACATCCCCAAGCCAGATATCCTCCCAGTTCTTTCCAAGGAGAAGCCTTTGTTGCCCTAGGATCAAGACCGGCGTCCCATCTGTTGTCTGTCATGCCATGAATGCTTGCAATTACATTATGCCGTAAGTTCTCTTGTTCCAAAGGAAACCTCCACAGCCATTTACCCAACAGTACCAAGTTCCTAAGTTTGATGTTTCCAATCCCTAGGCCTCCACTATCCCTACTTCTTGATACCACCTCCCGCTTTACCAAATGATCTTTTTTTGTATCCCCCGACTCCTACAAAAAGTCTCTCATCAGTTTCTTTAGTTTATTGGCCACTTTTACTTTTATGGGGATCTTAAAGGTTGAGAGGTAATAGACTGGCAAATTAGTCAATGTTGACTTTATTAGAGTTATTCTACCCCCTAGAGCAGTGTTTTAAAAGCGCAAGGCACAAAATGGTGCAAGGGCCATTTTGCGCCTGAGGCGCAAGGCGCAAGCGAGGTGTGCGCCTTTTTCAGGCAAGGTGCACAATTTAAGAAAAAAAAGCTAAAAAATCAAAAAAAATGCAAAAAATTCAAAAGAAATGCAAAAAAAATAAAAAAATTATAAAACATAATATTAATAAAAATATAAACTTAAGTTTTAAAATAAATGTTTTAAAAAACCTATTATCTAAAATTAAAATACATAAATATAATATGCAAAGAATATTCAAATGAGAATTTAAAAATGAAATCAAACATATAAAACATTTTCAAGCATATAAAACCCACAATCTCTTTTTTTCTCAATTGCATCAAGTGGCTAATGTGACATATTACATTCCTAATTCTACAAGCCGCCTTTGTGCCACGCCCCTCAAGGCAAGCCCAAACAAGTCCATGTTAGGGTCTTAAATTCTTAGTTTTTGCACAAAAAATAATAATTTTCTAGTTTTAATTGCTTTTAAGAAGATATTTTATTAGGACGAATGAATGGACAACATCACCAAATAAGAATTTAAGAACCTAACATGGACTTGTTTGGGCTGGCCTTGAGGGGCATGGGGGCTCTAGCCACCAGACTCAAAAAAAGGAAAAAGCGGCAAATTTTTAAAAGGCGCACCAGGCATACGCCTTTTGAATGGGCTGCGCCTAGGACCTGGGCGAGGCGCCTACCCAAAAATGCGCCACGCCTGTGTGCCTAGGTGTGCCTTTTAAATCACTGCCCTAGAGAAATGTAGTTTCTCTTCCATCCAGCAAGCCTTTTTTTGAATCTTTCAAAAAATGGGTTCCCCCCCAAGGGTAGGCCAAGGTACTGTAAAGGCCAATCACCTACCTCACAACCTAACAAACTAGCTAGGCTTTCAACCTCTCCTCTCTCCTTATTTAACCCTGCTACACAACTTTTGCTCCAATTTACTTTGAGGTTGGAGATCTTTTCAAAATGGGTTACCATCCTTTGTAGATTTGTCATTTCCTCCCTTTCCCTTTCGCAAAAGATTAGAATATCATCTGCAAATTGTAAATGGGTAACCACCACATTATTCCCCCCAATTCTCCAACTTCGTATCAAATTGTTGGCATCAGCCCTTGAAATCAACTCGCTAAACACATTTGCTATCAGAGTGAAGAAAAAAGGGGAAAGGGGATCTCCTTGTCGAAGGCCCCTCTTAGCTGGAAAGAAATCTCTGGCAACTCCATTAACCAAAATGGAATAGTGACAGGAGGAAATACATCCCTTTATCCATTTGCACCATCTCACTCCAAAACCTCTCAATCTTAACACTTTTAGAAGGAAATCCCAATCCACCAAGTCATAGGCTTTCTTCAGGTCCAACTTGCACACTAGCCCTTTTCCTTTCTCCGTTTTCTAAACTCCACACACTCGTTTGCAATAAGGATTTGGTCTATTATTTGTCTTCCAAATGTTGAAGATTAATCAGTTTTATGATGTTTTTCTGAGTAGATGTTTTATGTTAGTTGTTAGATAGGAGGTGGGGACCACAGTAGTTATGTGAGTCCAAATTTTATTATGTTTTTGAGTGTTATATATGCTATTTTATGTTTTGCTGCCCTATAAGGGCATAGTTGACTTTGTATTGTTCTATTACTTTTAGTATAAATAATAAGTGAAGGGGGCGGCCAGATCATTGCTCTCTTTTCTTTTCAACTTCTCTTCTTCTCCTTCTCTCTTCAAGAAACTACTTTTCTTTCATATTTTTTAATTCAGTAGATTTCTACTTGGTATCAGAGCATCGGCTAGGGTTTCTTGAAGCATTCTCATGCAGCCCTAGATCAGCCGACTGCATGAAGTAGTAAAGGGCTGATCGATCTGCTATAGATTGCCTAGTTCTTGGATTTTTTGGTGGGATCTAGTCATCAGGAAGTTGAACTCTTTGTTTTTTATCTGATCTTGGGCGCCCAGGTATTGTTAGTTTTCTTTTGATTTTCTGAAGAGGGCGGTTTGGTTTCTGGAATTTTCTAAGCCTCCTAGAGTGATCGATTCACTCTTCTCTCTGTTGGGAGGCATGGGGAGGAGAGAGATTTCTCTCCAGCTAGGGTTTTCTTTTTCCAAAAGGGTTGGTTTCTGTGTGTGACATTTAAACTTGAGGGGGAGTGTTGAAGACTTATCAATTTTATGATGTTTTTCTGAGTAGATGTTTTATGTTAGTTGTTAGATAGGAGGTGGGGACCACAGTAGTTATGTGAATCCAAATTTTA